GTTAAAGCGTCGTAGCTGTTGTAAAACGCGTTTTCCTTGTTGTTCCCTGTGTTGTTCATTTTTTTTTGTTTTTTATTTTGTTGTTCTGCCATGTTATTTTCAAATATTTCTTCGTGTTCGTCTTCCTGTGTACGTGTCCTTTTTGTAAGGGCGTTAGCCCTTACTACCCCTTCTTCTTTGTGAGTTTTGTCTAGTCTCCTGTAACGGATTATTGTTATTCTGTGTGTGTCTCTCCTCCACCTCACCTGAACTGGAGAGAGTGCATGCAGATCTCTTTTTAAAATTTTTTTTTAAAAATTATATATTTATTCTTTTTTATCATTATTTTTAATTTTTAATATTTTGTACTTTATTTGTTTGTTTGTTTTTTTTTGATGTTTTTTCTTTGGGAATAGGTTTTTTACGGGAGGATAAGGGTTAGTTGGGTGGATAAGGTGGGAAAATGGATCTTTACGGGTGGAAGGGTGGGGCAGATGGATCTTTTACGGGTATAAGAATGGGGCGGCTGGATGTTTTACAGGTGGAAGGGTAGGGTGATAGATGTTTTTCAGGAGAGTAAGTTTCATGGATATGCGCATATATGCAATGGTGGGAATAAACCGTAAATTTCCGGTTATTCCTTACTATGGAAATAACTGTAAATTTACTTTTTATTCCCACCATTGCATACATGCGCTAGAGATGCGACCCGCTATCCATTTAAAATTTACCGGATATGATTTTGTAAATAAACTAAGTGCGTGAGACAAAAATTTAAGGATAGAGCCTTAACATTAAAAGCTATAGGTTAAATTAATGCTTAATGCGAATTCATATACGTATTTAATTAGAATTTATTAGCAGGCCAGTTTCGGAGTATTGGTATAATTTCGGGTCTTAGGCAAGTTTCGGCCAAGAAGGTTATGTCCGAAACTGGTAATACCAGTTTCAGTTTCAGTCAATCCGAAACTATATAGTTTCGGGCAGCATCATTACTTGACAGATCAATGGATTGTAATTTTTGAAAACACTGAGAATGTAAATTTAATAATCTCTAGTTTACTCAAAGAGGCGTTTGAGGATGTAGTCCATCAAACCCTTGTTAATTGAAGGCACCACTTGCTTGACAGATCAATGAATTGTAATTTTTGAAAACACAGAGGATGTAAATTTAGAAGGTCGAATTCCACGGTTTACACATGTGGGCAATAACAAGGTTACAACAGAGTGGCATTCAGCCCCTAAAGTATGCTACTTTTGTAACCAGGAAGGTCACATTAAGAAGGAATGTTCTCAATTTCAAGAATCCCTTTTATTGCGCAATTATTATTAAGAACTCAAAGAGGCCAAATTAGAGAAAGTTTTTTATAAAACTGTATCTAATTAAGAGAACCCAGATGCCCATATCCAAAACACTAATAATGGAAATGTATTACTCTAGAAAATATGCAATCAGAAGCATCGCTTCAAATCTCTTTGAATCTTATTTAAGCTTTACCATCAGATATTACACAGAATGTTTGGTCAGAAACAGTAAACATGGTTGCAACTAATCAGGGAGAGCAACCAATACTTTCTAATGGTTCAAATTTGCCAAACATAGAACAAGATTTACGTAATGAACTCACTATGGATAACTCTTTTTCAAAACAAACCCCGGATAAGCTCATTTCAACAAATAGGGAGGACATTGTGATAGATACAATAGAAAACAAAGCAGAATTCACCACAGTGGTCAACAAGAAGAAAAATAATAAGAATAAATCTAAATCAATTCAAAAACAAATTAGAGCTTCCCCATACAAGAAGTTACATGCTGGAATGTCCAGTACAGTAATCTCTTAAACTTATTCTATTTTTATCAACATGATCAACAAACCTAAAATTTTTTTTTAACCCTAGTTCTATTGCTAGTTGGTGCTCTTTTATTAATTCAATTTCAAGGTCTTACATTATACATTAGGGGTTTTACTATTCTAGCTAACCTATACCCCCTCCTATCATCCGTTTATCCCAGTGAATCCAGCAGGCCACTACACCCTGGTGTCCTGTATCTCGTGAATCTTAGGTAGCTTTAAGGAAATCAATTCTGCCAGTGCGCTATATAGGTCAGCCGTTTTTCATACACCCCGGGAACTACTTTCTATATTTAGTCAGTGTGGTGTCATCAGCAGCCCCTTACATATTTCTCTATTTCCTTTTATAGTGGATATTTCTTATGTTTACAACGTTTCTTGTTGGATTTTTTCCTTTTCTGGACGTTGCATGACTTTCGTAGCAATGTCATGCTACTCTTAACGTTGTAGTACTTTTGTCTGTAGATAGAGAAGTGTGGCTCCTCATTGAAGATCCTTGCCATTCGTGATCCCAACACGGTTTTTGTCATCCACTAGACTCGAACCAGCGATCTTGCGAATGCAACCCCAGAGTGCTAACCACTGCACTATCTGACCCAGGGTCTCCAAACCTAAAATTTATATAGCTACTATTAATGTTAAAGGGTTGAATGGTCAGAACAAACAACAAAGAACATTAACACTTCTTAAATCTTATAAGTTGGATATTATTGTATTACAGGAAATGAATCTAAACAATCAAATCAATAGCTATTTGACTCTGCTTGGTCTAGTAAAACAGCAAATTTTTTTTTTGAAATTTCCCCCTAGGTTTACCCCTAGGGGTCGCGTTTGGCAATCTTTATTTATTAAATTTCTTTATTGCCTAATTACAAATAAGAAATCTATATCTATCCTTAATTTTTTTCTGTCTTCCTAACAAATTAAATTTTAACTGTTTAATTTCTATCTTTATCCTCGCCTTTACCCTTTGTATTATTTTCAAACTTGTGAGACAGCCTTCTCCCCACTTTGCTCTAGTATATATACACCAGATTTCGTAGCATGTTTGTATATGCAACCATCAGGCTGCATTCTCATTTTGTTTATATGGCCAATGATTTAATGAGAATACCTTTGCTTCATTGTAGGACATCTGGTTTCATCGAGTGGTTCTATAAACCTAAGAGTCTCCCTCCAGACTGTCTCGCTCATGGGGCAGTCTATTAGGAAGTGTTCTATGGTCTGTTTTTCCCCAGGGCACTAGGGGCACCTTCCATCGTCCTGCCAGTTCACGTGCTTCAATCTGTATCCCAGTGGTAGCACCCTGTGATATATTCTCCAGAATATATACAGCTTTTTGAATTGTACCTCTTTGGTAAAGATCCATCTTGTCTTGTTCTTGTCTGTTGGATTAGACCGTCCTGAGCTATTAGATAACCCCTTACTCAAGGCTTCAACTGCCCTTTTTACCGTGATTTGGTTCCCTTTCAGTTCTCCTACCCTGAGATCTTCCAAGTCCCAAGGCCAGTTTCTTGTAGAGTGAATGCTACCCTTTATTCGTTTCTATGCTCTCAGATGAGCCCTCCATTCAGCTGGCCATGCCTTGGTACTTATATTTGCCTCTCACAAGGCCCAGATTGCTTCTATGTCCCTTTTTTCCCTGAGCCTGTCACTTATTCTTTCTCTTTCATACTTCGCCCACAAAGTGCCTCCTGTGCAAAGCTTTTTCCACATCATCACTAGTCTTGTGTCCATTAGGTTTTTTGCATGCAGTTCTGTTCTCCTTTGCAGTAGTTCTCTTGGAATTTGGCATATTTCGGAAGCATCTTGGATTTGTTCTTTATCCATACTGCAATTATGTCATTGAGCTCTGCTAGTTGTTTCCTGTTTGGTGTTAAAATGTACGCTGCATACCATACCTTCAATAAAATTAAGGAGTTGGCAATCAAGATTTTTCCCCTAAAGAACAAATCTCGGAGTTTGAATCGGTCTATTGTTTTCTTTAAATTTTTAATGACTCGTTCCCACAGACCCTTTTTAGGCATACTATCCCTTTGTATTTCATACTCCAGTATACTAATAGAATCTAGCTCCATTACTTTATTGTATTGGTCTTCTCCTTCCAGAGTCACTCTTTCTGCCATTGGAGTCAATGGCATTAGCTTTGTTTTGTTTTTATTTATTTTCACATTTGATGCCTTTTCGTACACTCCGAAGAGGTGTGACATATTATTCCAATCCGAGGTTGAGCCTAAGCCAATCGAGAGATCATCTGCATAAGCTGCCAATTTGAACCTATATCTACCCATGGGAATTCCGGAAACTTTTTCATTCAGTTGTCTTAACAAAGGCTCAAATGCTATAATGTATAAAAGAGAAGAAAGGGAGTCACCCTGTCTTACACCTCTTTCCACTCTAAATGGACTCGATAGCTCATTTTCGCTGACTATGTGTGCTTCTTGCTGTTTGAAAAGATTTATTATTATTGTTATTGCTTTTTGTTCAAATTTCATTTTACCTAGGGTGTACTTCAGAAACTCGTGGCTCATCCTATCGAATGCCTTAGCCTGGTCAACCAATAGCATCCAACAAACATCTGTTTGTTCTCTTTGTTTTCTAATTGTTGTAATAATGTCGAGCGCCGCGTCAGTAATTGACCTATTCCTAATCTTTGATACAGTATTAAATGTGTTTACTACAATGAGAAATCAAAAGAACATTGTGAAACAACACTGGATGGATTAACAAAAAACATTGACCACAACTTTTTGTAAATTGTTTTGGGAAAAATGAATTTTTGCCAGGGCCTTAGGAATCTAGTAGAAATTTATTCTTGAACTAGAAAGCACACATTTTCGAATCTGGTTGCCTTTTGGAGCTATTTAGAGTTGAAAGAGAGGTTCAGCAGAGTGACCCTCTGTCCCTTCTCCTCTATATCCTAGCCTTTAAACCTCTTCTGTTAGCACTCAACAATAAAATTAAAGGCATCCCAGTACACAATCTTTTCTTTAACACAGTAGCATATGTAAATGACCTCACAATAGGAATTGGCTCATTTTGAAGTACAAAAGGTGATTAACACCTATGAAGCTGCTGCATGTGCAAGAATTAATTAACACAAGACAAAGTTAGTACTGCTAACTGACTTAGCTAGAAGAGCTAACTTTCCGGTGACGAATCTTTTCAATATAGTAAAGGAACATGAGCCCCTAATGGTATTAGGTTACAATATTTATCTGAATGGTTCTCCCAAGAACAACCTGTGGACCTCAACAATTGCTAAGCTACAATCTTCACTAGACAAGTTTGTGCAAAGAAATCTCTCTATTAAAGATAGAATCCTAATAACCAAATCTTTGGTTCTATCAAAAATATGGCATGGCAGAAATAAATAGAATAATAACATTTTGAATCAAGCACAACTCAAAAATGCTTCCTAGATATTCAACTAACAGACAATATACTATAAGCACAAATAGAGTGGAGAATAATTAATTCAGTCTTAAGATTCAAAAGAGATATTTTGGTTCTACAAGCTTTAACTATAAAACCAATACAGACCATGGCATAGGCCACAAAATGGAAGCCATATTTACTAGCATGAAAAAAGGTTGAAGGGTCGATTTTAGCTCTCTCTGGAATATAAAGATTGTTCTATTAGGAGAAAAAAAGGGAAATGAATTCCAAGTTAAAAACATTATAGAATTCCTGAGTAAAACAACTGTGGACACAACAAACACTTACCAAACCAGCAATGGATTGGATCCTTTTTAAGGCAGTAAACAATAAAAAGAAGGATATCTCTTTCACAGAGCCTTACTACTAGGCTAATGCCTCCGTATCACCAACAGAAACAGGCTTCTGCCTGTGGTATAATAACACACTTCAATCTCTAGAGCACTTTGCCTTCAAATGTCATATTGGTAAATTAATATGGTCAGAAGCATACAAATTCCTGAACATAGAAGAAATTCCTTCTATTCCAAGTTCTATAGATGAGGTTTTCACCACTTCTAATTTCACAAGAGATGTATACTATAATACTGCTGTATGAATCCAAATAAATACAATCTATGAGATCTGGTGCTGGTACACTACTGCGAAATGAGGCAGTGGTAGCTATCCAAAAACATCCCTTTCCTCTATAATCAGAAACCACATCTCAAAAGAAATACAGATGCTATTTCTCTATAAATCTGTAAATAAGAAAATATATAAATATCTTCATTGTAAATAATCATTTATATAGAACTTAATAAAGAGCATCACATGTGTCTGAAATAGTCTAAAAAAAAAATCAACCAGATTACAATTTTGGCAATATACTAATTTTTTTATTTTAATCATCTATGGTGTTTTACACCATATTACACAAAACTATTAGAATAGCCAATCAAAATTTAAGATCAGGTGTAACAAAAAATTTTATTTTTAGTTTATTTTTTTAAAAAATGGTCATATCGCAAAATTTTGCTTATGAAACCACCTTTGGGGCTCTAATAAAAAAAATTACTTGCTAAATTTTGTATATACTAATGCCCTGATAAAATCCTAGGCCTTACCCTTACTCTAATTTATTTTTTGTTTTGTAAAAATTTATTTTTTTGTTTTTGTTACACAGATTTGCAAATCTAATTTACCTATGGTGATAAAACACTATAAGTACATTTTATAATCAATTTTATTAAGCTTTAATCAAAGGTCAATGGGGCCTTCTTGTTATGCAAGGTCCCTATATTTATAATAATTTACATACATTTTAACTATCTAGTTGTTTCTAAAGAGTAGCCAGTAATGGTTAGCATATTGGCCAAAGTTATATCAGAGAAATTCTATTTAACTAGAATTTCACTAGGAGTATTTTATCCTTCCAACATCAATTAAGGTCTTTAATAATTATTGAGCATGCAGTAAAGCATGGGCCCACACACCTTCTAGCTCTCTAGAATTTGGCTTGTTATCATACTCTATTTCATATTTTTCTAGCTACTTTGCATTCCAACACAAAATTTTTGATTGTCTGTACTTCTTCCAAGCACTAGGGACAATCACTTAGTTCAGGATTCATATGTCTTAGTTAGTATCTAAGAGGGAGTACTTTGTGGTAGAGGTGCCAGAATATGTCCAATCTTTGTATCCGTCTTTACCTAGGAATGAGATGTAATCTTTATAAATGCAATACCTTTCTAAATACACTTTTTTTTTTGCAAGATGTTAGGGAAGTGCAGTTTATTACGTGATTTATTTTTATTATAGGGCCATACCCCCCTGTAATAATATTATTAACTAATATACAATAGACAAATTTTATTTTTGCAAAATAATGCCACTTGTGTGTTGAATATATGATGTTAATTAGAGACAAGGATTGAATTTTTAATGAACCTGTTTTCCAAGTAATAAGGTGAATATGCCTAATTTAGCGCAGTACCTAATTTGGCGCGTTTAAGATATCTTGGAATCTACCGATCATATTCATGTGATTTCGGTACCGTTTGATTCATCTCAATGAGACGAATCGAATGGTACCAAAATCATGTGATTTCAATTGATAGATTCTGAGAAATTGTTATATTAGATAAATTCTTTTTATTTTAAATTTTAACACGAAAGG